CACAATGTTAAAAGAACATAGGGAAGGTTGCCAACACAGTGAAGAGAGATCCAGTTGAACGCTTCTGGACGACTACATGAATGCAGCGACCAGGAAGAAAGTTGCCAGTTGCTGAATTACGAAAAGCAGCGCGGCACTGAAATAACAGCTCAACAAAGCATCAAAATAAATCGTTACTTTATTCTCTCGTTTAACATTTTTTGCATCGAATTCTTCCGCATAACTTTGTTCCAGCACAGCCGTGTTGTATAATACCCCTTCTTCTGTTTGATAAATTGCTACTTCACGCTCCGTTATTGAAACGTATCTAAACGTTTAAATTGCCAAAAACAACTTCAATAATCACTTTAGAACAGCACTGGCAAGCAAGCATCAATCTGATCACCTACAAATCTATTGTCAAACATAAAAGTAAAATACGAGACCGGAGTGGAAAGAAAGATTAACAGAACTTAAGAACCAGTGGATCAAAACTCTCTGTTTTAGAATTCGTCAGTTTTTTAAAATTACTGCTCCAATTCCATCACAAATTTATTTTTATTTTGATACTAAATACAAGTCATTTCACACTTCTTCTTCCATCCCACGACTTTTCTTTACTTCTTAATTCCTTTAAAGAAATACCTGTTAATATCAATTTCTTTCAGCAAATCAGCGCAATAATCCCAAATGGGGTTTCGGATATGTTGTGTCACTCCTCCGCTTGACATTAACATTTTGATCGCCCTGCACCGAATCACTGGGTCCTCGGTTGCAAAAACACGCCCAACAATCATTTGAAAGCCATCCGTATTGAACAGATTCTCAGTATTTTTTACTGAGCGAATCCAGCGGTTCCAACAACATGGATCAGATTCCACTAAAAGTAACGAATATGTAGGATGAAGCACTAGCAACTTGAAAAAAAACCTTGCTTTTTGATAAACGAGGGAATTAGTAAAGTACATGAAGGTACCGCAGCTGAAAGGAACAACATTTAATCAGCCTTTAGCCACTGTGTAAGCCATAGAGCTTTGATTAAAATTTGAGCATTCACTTCCACCACTGCAGCTTTTCGATTATTTTATTTACCTCGATGAGGTAAGCTAGCATTAACGAACAACAATAAGTCATCTATCAGCTCCCCTGCACACAGATCTCGGGAGAAACCATCGACAATCCCACCAACGAGTGGTTACTTCTAGCACATCCTGTCGCATATCCTGCTGAGTGAGTATGGAAAAACCTTTTCATTTCTCAGTGAGAGCAATCACGCTGTTTTCGCTAAATCTTTAATTAAAAAAAAAAAAAAAA